TCTTCAGTGTCGGGAGCCATGGGAGCCCAGCTGCACTTCCTCTTACAGTGGTCTGAGAAGCAGCTACTAAGAAGGCAGTGAGTGGTAGAAGGGAGTAGGAAGGACATGCTGGCAAACTTAGGAAAAGAAAGGCCTCCACCGCATCAGATTAAAGTTTAGGGTGGTATCCCATTCATTCTGGTCAGAACAAAAGTGGTGCTCACCCCAATAGATCCATCCCTACATTCATCAGGATTCTCAGAAACACTACCAAAGCTTTCCTCACACTGAGCCATGTCCATCTCAGAGGGGGAAACAGAGACCCCTATAATGCCTCCATCACCACCAGACTCTGCCTGTCATGGGGACAGGCTTCCTTATGGAAAATGGAATGCTTGCTGATTTCCTGGTCTCAACCCCATCTGTGAGGGGACCGATAGGCGAGTGGTGGTGAGAGTAGTGGCACAGAGGTGGAGAAGGCTTGGATAGAGAAGAAGAGTGAACAGGGAAAAGGGAGCCATCTGTTGTTAAATCAGGAGGTAGTGGAAGTGCCCCACATTAGGTGCCATGGGGCCCCATACTGGCTTGAGGGAGAGGTGGGCATTGCTGCTGAGGCCCCAGCTATGTCCGAGTCTGTGGGTCTGGGGAGTCTAGAAGCTACAGCCACACCAGCAGCTTATTAAAATCAGAAAATAAGGGATATCTCAGAACTTCTTTTCCTTTTTACAGGACAGATCTAGCTGAATAATGGGATTATAAGGTATGGATTCTTTAGCAAGAATTCTTGGTTTCTAAGATTTTACTGAGGGCAGACTGTAATATGGTCTTCCTTTTTTTTTCTCTAAAATATCCCCTTACATTTGTCCATATTAGCTAAAAAGGCAACCTTGTGGTGAGTCCTTTGGAATATTCTCTGTCTCCCTGTTTAATAGGACCTTTATCAGGTTAGTGTAAAAAAATTTAAAACAAAAAAGAACCTTGTCTTGCTATGTTTTTGCCCACTCCCTAGAATAAGAGAGCTTCAGCAACCAAATACAAAAACAAAAGCTTTTAGTAACTTTAAGTAACTTTAGTAACTCTTAGTAATTTTAAGAAAAATATCAGTACCAGATAGAATCATGAAAAAGAAAATAAGAACAGATGAGACAAGAATAATCAGAATCCTTTTTAAAAAAAACCTTCAGGGACAGTATTTTTCCAGAGAAAACCAACCCAGATTCACAACAACAGGTCACCTAGAGACAGAGAAGCAGCATGGAACACAATGGAGTGGTGTGCGTCCAACACAAGAAGTCTGAGGACCTCAGATGCCCTACCAAGAAAATCTTGTTTCCAACAGGAAAATAAGCAGTGTACCCAAGAACTTGCAAACCAATGAGGCCTGATATCCTGAACACACTTTCTTTTTTTATTTTAAAGAGATTAACACAAAAGAGGACAGAACAAAGCAGATCAGAACAGAACTATGTAAGCAACACAGTACTTCACAAGATAACCCGATACTAACAGTAGCAACCATAATGTTTCTTTCTTTGAAATAGTTGAGCATACATTCACATACAATACTATCAAACATAACAAAATAGTATAAACCCATTCAAGAGAATGAAAGTATTACAGGGCATTCAGAACCAAATAACAGAAAATGAACAATGTCTACTATATTATCTCATATTCCATAAAAAATTCCATTGTTTATACTATCACACGTATTAAAATCCAATAAGACACAACATGTTAGAACCAATGGAAAGAGAAAAACAAAAGTATGGCAGGATGTCAAAGCAAGATGATATTAAATCAGCAATGGCTGTCATAATGTCTTGTTTTCTTCAAAGTAGCTGGTCATACCATCACACATAATAAAATCAAATAAAACAGAATAAAACCATTCCAACTAATAAATAAAAATATTATAAGGTTTAAAAGCAATGTAATAGGGAATCATGATTACCATAAAATCTTATGTACTCTTACCATTTCTTACACTAGGGAAACTATTCTGTATTTATACATGTGAGTTTGATTTATTTCACTTATGAGTCTCAAGCTGTGCCCATTTATTGATAAATATCTCAGTGTGACCATTCTTTATAGCTGAATAATACTCCATTGTATAGAAATACCACAACTTTTTTATCCATTTCTCAGTTGATGGACACTTAGGTTGTTTCCAAGATCTGGCATAACAAACTGTGCTGCTATGAACATGGGTGCACATATATCACTGTGGTATGATGTTTTCAGTTCTTCTGGGAAAATGCCTAGAAGTGGAATAGCTGGATCAAATGGGATTGCTAATCCCAGCTTTTTGAGGAATGTCCAGACTGATTTCCACAGTGGTTGCACCAGTCTACACTCCCACCAACAGTGCAAGATAGTTCCTTTTTCCCCACAGCCTCTTCAATATTTGTTGTTGGTAGTATCCTTGATCCTGGCCATTTTTTCTGGAGTGAGATGAAATCTCAGTGTGGTTTTAATTTGCATGTCTCTAATGACTAATGATGCTAAACATTTTTTCATGTATTTGGTGTGGCTGGAAGCTGGGCAGGCACTTACCCATTGGTAGTGATGATCTTAAACTCTCCAGGGGCCTGCAGTGGGGTGCTGGAACTCACCTCTGGCAGCCCCATTTCCCTGGATTGAAAGAAGGTCGTTAGCCATGGCCCAGCTAGGCCTGAGAAACCTGCAGAGCCCAGTCTAGTGTGGCTGCAAGCTGGGCAGGTCCTTAACCACAGGGAGTGATGATCTTAAACTCTCCCTGGGCCAGCCCCAGTGTGCTGGAACTCACCTCACGCAGCCCCAGTTCCCCAGATTGAAAGCCCTGAACACACTTTCTAAATAACACCTCAGAACCACTACTGTGAGAACCAAAGCAGGGTAACACTGCTAGCACCAAGTTTACTCTAGGTTATCAAGCTGGATCTGCTGCAGCCCCATCCCACTGTACTGCAGAAGTCTATGATGGCAAAACACGATTTACAATCTAACTACTCCCTCCAGTGTACATCCTGATGCATGAGCAGGCCTGGAGCCTCCATCCACCATCTGTAGTGTGCAATGAAGTCAGATTAGTTCCAAACAATTGATGGGGACACATTAATGTTTACTGAACTAAAAATATGAAACTTAGCTGCCCATATTTTTCCCTTGATTCACATTAGTGAAAGTGATGTTTTATATCTTTATCAGTGCTAGGTCTGGTGCGCATGAGTACCAACCTGTTTACAAAAATGTTAGCTAGAGATGGTAGACTCTGAGGAGAATCCAGCTTCTCAAATCCTAGAATGAAGGTTATACTCTTGGGGAATAATGCATATTTTAATTAGTTATCTAGAATTCTTTTTAAAGTCCTCAAGGGACTATGTCACAAACGTATTATAAATCTCCCCATTTTCTTTGTGTTAATTGTGGAGAGATGATATTCACAGGTAGGTTATCATCAGTATTTGTTAATTAAAAATTAGTCTTGTGTTTTATGTAGATTAAAATCTTAATGTGGAAAAATATTTTCACTTATTGCTTTTTTCTACTCAAGTAATTTTATTGTTTGATTCTCCAAAACTCTGTGATTATGTGAAACTCTTAAGATGAATACATAAGAATCAAATAATGAATGTCTAGTTCTTCAAAATACCTTTTTCCACTGCTATGAAGTTTTTTGTAGAGTAGGAAAGTAGATCAGGCTGGTACAGAGGGTGCATTTGCGTATCTGTGTTTTTCTAAACAAATAGTCCATAAGTGGATTAATGACACTGAATAATTGGGACTAAAGCAATACAGGTATATGCCTTGTTTATAAGCTGTTCAAATGCTTCCATCCTGAGAAATATCTCTAGCCATTTAAAACATTCCACTTTATTTTATCATCATAGTGATTGCTTTTATCTAAAATTATACATGTAGCTTTATCTATGAATTTCATATCTATTCCCACTACAGTGAAGAGTGAGCTTGGAGAGGGTGCAGAATTTATTTATTGCTGGTACTTGACATCCTACAATAGAACTAGTTCAATCTTCACTGTACACATGAGTAAGTACTGTTTGTGAATAGATAGCTTCCAAGCAAAGAGAACTCTGATTTTTTTTTAATTTTAAAAAGCAAAACAGAAAAAAATATCAGAAATTCAAAAAATAGATGGAAATTAACACTAATATATTGCATGTTGTTACCTTAGAAGAAGTTGTTCAGGTTGCAAGATCTAGGCATAAAAAAATTATCAAACAATGACAGCACCAACTGTTCCTTTTGATGCACTAACAGAGATTAGCAGTATAGCTATCTATCTTGCATACATATACATACACTCATATAATCTTTTCTTCCTTTTCTCTGTTCCCCTATCCCAGTTGTTCTTTCCTTTTGATTTGATTTGATATACTTTTAGTTGTGTACTGAAAAATGTATTTCAGAACTGTGTTTTGCTGCAAAAGCAGTTAAGAGAGATATCTTTTGGGCATTAGTGGAGTTTGTCACTGTTCATCTTTTATTCTGTACCTAGAACAGTGGGATATCACAGAAGAAGGAAGCAGGGCAAGAAAAACTACTTGATTTATCTGCAAAAATGAAGTGAATGTCTTACCAACTGGTATGCCTTATTTTTGTAACTTTTACATTTCCCCACAAATCTGGGACAAAAATAGCAAATATATAGAGTGCTAAAAAAACATATATAAATTGGAGAATGTATATGAAAATTAATTATATATTTGTATTATACATAATCATGCAAATATTTGGGTGAGGAGAGTATTTGTTTGCCTATTTGAGATAAAGACAGGACTGATGACAGAGCTCATGTGCAGGAACAAGTTCTGTATGATGACTGTGATCATTGTCTATTTCTAAAAAGAACTGATAAGAGCAATTTTTAAAATGACAAAGACCGATGGTTCTGCTGAAAACAGAAAAGTGTCTCACAGACAAGTTACTAAACAGGAGAGCAAATAAGATAAATGCAAATTCTAAAGATAACCTTTCACATCTTCCATCACATTCAGATTTCAAAGGATAAGAAAATGCCCTCCCCCAACCACACCCTAGTGACAGATTTCATTCTTCTGGGACTCACAGATGACCCTTTGCTGGAGAAAGTGCTGTTTGCAGTGCTCCTGCTGGTCTACCTGATTACACTGGCAGGAAACCTATGTATGATAATGCTCATCAGGACCACTTCCCACCTTCAAACCCCCATGTACTTCTTCCTGGGCCACCTCTCCTTCGTGGACATCTGCTATTCTTCCAGTGTCACTCCAAACATGCTGCACAACTTCCTCTCTGAGCGGAAGACCATTTCCCTGCCAGGTTGCTTCACGCAGTGCCTGCTTTTCATTGCCCTTGTCATCACTGAGTTCTACATGCTGGCATCCATGGCCCTGGATCGCTATGTGGCCATTTGCAGCCCCCTGCACTATAGTACCAGGATGTCCAGGAATGTCTGCATCTTACTAGTCACCTTCCCTTACCTATTTGGCTTCCTGAACGGCCTGTCTCAGGCACTGCTGACTTTCCACTTGTCCTTCTGCGGCTCCCTGGAAATCCATCATTTCTACTGTGCAGACCCTCCACTTATTGTGCTGGCCTGCTCTGACACCCGTGTCAAAGAGATGGCAATGTTTGTTGTTGCTGGCCTCACTCTGTCGAGTTCTCTCTCCATCATTCTTCTGTCCTACATTTTCATTTTTGCAGCCATCCTGAAGATTCACTCTGCAGAAGGCAGGCACAAAGCCTTTTCTACTTGTGGTTCCCACCTGACCACGGTGACCATATTCTATGGAACCCTGTTCTGCATGTACTTAAGACCTCCATCAGAGAAGTCTGTGGAAGAGTCCAAAGTAATTGCAGTGTTTTATACTTTTTTGAGTCCAATGATAAACCCACTGATCTACAGCTTAAGGAACAAGGATGTGATCTGTGCCATGGAGCAACTGGTCAAGGGGAAAGTTTTCCAGAAAATTACGGTCTAGTATGTGTTTCTTTGTCACCATTGAATCTGTTTAGTCAGAGCACATCTTTACAAGGATGTCACACATGAAATATTGACTTATTTATCACCATGAACTCTCAGTGCCCATTTTTGTTCATTTATCCTTGAAATTAATCCTTCAAGAGTAACTGTTTCACTGAACACTATAATTTGATATTAAAAAATATTTTTACATAGAATCTCTGACTATGCATTGGTTAAGGTACAAGAATTCCATATGATCTCAATATAAGTGATTAGCTGCAAGTTTGCATCATATCTAATTTATTTGAGTAAGATTTCCACCCATCTTCTTTCTTTAATATACTGCACTGAGGTTCAAAGTAAGTAACTGGCATTATATTTTTCCCAGTTATGACTTAAATTTTACTATAAATTCTGCTATGGAACAATTGTTTTAATGTCTAATATATCACAAAGCTAACCATCCAGAAAATTTAAATATAGGACTCTCCTCCAGGTTTAAATTTTCTGTAACATTTTTCTGTCATGGAAATTATAGTTTCTTCAACAAAACTGTCCATTTAAAAACTACAGATTACTTGCCTCATATCTGAAAATAAACTCACCACCTACTTTTGAGTGTGCAAGAGTGTGACTCCACTCTATATCTGGTGTTGTGCAGATGCAGTTCTTGATGACATTAGTTCTGACTTCAGGCTAAGCTTTTAAGGGTCACTGAGGTCATTCTATTGACTTCTGTCCACCCACCTCCTGTGCAAGGCTGTGTGAAGATGTGCATGTCTCCATACCATTCTGTAGGAGGTCACTCTGTGTTTGCATCTGCTTCTAAGGCTGTCTCCAAGTGATGATTTCCTATATAAAGCTGCTTCCTAGAAAATAGCAGTGCATGCTTCATAAGACCAATATTTCATTCACTTGAACTCAGACATTTTGAGTCAACTAAATGACTGAATATTGAGTTATATATAGTCTTTATTGTACTCAGATGTTCTGTTTTACACTTTATTTTTTTACTTTTTCATTTTTATTTCAGCATATTAATATAACATACATTGATCATTTTCATTTCCCCCAAAATTTCCATTTTATCATAAACATTGTAGTTGAATTCATAAGAACATTTGCTATGGTTAAAAGCACTTCACTAAACTTTCTGTAATAAATGCACATATGCATTCATGTTCTCACTTTACTATAAAATGTTCAAGGTATTCTGCAGAAAGTACGCTAGGTTTGTAGATTTCATCTTTCTTTCTTTCTTTCCTATTTCTTATTTTTTTATTCTTGATTTATTTTTCATTGTAGATTATGTCTTTCAGTGAAAATCACTTCAGCAGTTTTTTAACAGTAAGTACAAACCAAAAATAGTGATGGCACTCATTCATAGTTGGTGCTCACGTCTACATCCTATTTATTTTAAAGATTACAAATGAAATAATAAAAGTGTTATCACTCATACTTGTGAGGGTTCAAGTATAAAGATTAAGTGACTTCCCCAGAGTTACCAGGAAATAAAAAATAACAAAGGTAAATTATTCCATTTTAAATCTTTGTCTTTCCAAATTGCACTGCAGTCCTTAATCAATTCTTGAACAGACCACAGATGCTAGATAGAATCTTAGGGGTGAGAAACCCATGAGGTAACAACTATGGGTCATATTACAGTGTGTTTAATGATCCTGATACATATCCCAGCTGAACTGTATTTCCTCTGACATTTCAGGAAGGCATGTACAATACTTTATGTGTATTAGAAATGGATGTTTTGTACTATTGTACATAAAAGCAAGAAGTTTTGATGTTCAGTAAACAAATTTAGCCTACATTTTATTAATATATGCTTGATATTGCAAATTGATACATGCTCAATACTAAAAACCAAGAAAAGAGTTGCACATGATGATGAAAAATTAATCTCACATACCATAGAAAGATGACTGCAGTGATTTTTTTGCATTTTTATATTTCTTTCTGGAAACTTACTATATGTGTGTTTTTATACTTCATAAGACCAAATTCACATGACATGCTATGCTCTATGGACTCTACACTGATTTCTGCATGAAAGTGCAATATGTTTTTGAACAACTTAAATATTCTATTGAACATCATTTAATGCAGATTCACGGTTAGTTATTGATTTCAACTACAAAGGAATACAAGAAAGCTGCAACGTTTTATTTTTCTAAAGCATAAATAAAAGAAAAATTTGCTTGTAATCTTTCATCTAGTTATCTGCCATCTAAATTGTGATTTATTTTATGTCACTTAGTTTATCTTGCAAAATACTATATCATCATCCAGTGTATCTTATGCTCTGAGGGTAGACTCATATTTTGCACATCATGCTCTAACTTCTAATTTAGGGTACATCCCTTGGAGTGGAATCACTGAATTAAAAATTTTGAGTTTTTTTAATGCTATTGCAAAATTTTTCTATGAATAGTAGTTTTTCCAGGAAGTTTCTAATAATTTATGCTTTGGATTAGTACTATTTGAAAGCAATCAATTTATTGGATATTTACTTAATATTAGGAAATGGAATTTAAGCCTATTTTCTAATTTTTTTCACAACTCAAATTTTTGGGAAAGGATTTTCTTTCAAATTGAACAGAAAACTTCAAATACATATTAAGTAATATATGATACCTATGCTGCAGACTATTGCCCATTATTTCTAATGATTCCTCACATGAATATATTTACATTTACATTTTAATTTGAAAATTTTTGACAGGCATGAAAGCAATATGATCAAGGGAGGAAGAGAGGACCATTAGGAGGTAAAGTAAGACTTGGAAAATACAAGCCAATCATTACATGTCTCACAAGTGCCCATGGCTATAAATCTCATTGTAAAATAGAACAGGTTATAGAATTCACTAGTAAAATATTTTCTTCTTCACTTCTGTAGGTAACAACCTTACAGCAAAGAATAAACTCACTGGTTTCCATACTGCTTTTTGTATAACTCCTTTCCTAGGTTGTTTTCTGCAAGCAACCATACTATAAAATGAATTTGATCTAGAGCTCTAGGATCTCATTTTTTTGTGATCTTTATGATCACTGTGGTCAGAAATCCTAGCATGATCTAGGACAAAGCAAGAAACACATTGATTATCACCTTCAAATTATTCCAACTGATACAAAAAGTCAAGGAATTGTGAGCATACTTTGCAATTACTGCTGTAGTTCTCTTATTATAGCATTTAGTATTCCTGAGAACACTACAAGTGGAAGTGTTATTTGTAATATCTTTTGTGATCCAACATCAAGTTGTGCTTTCCATGGATGAATTATTTATTACTAGCTTCCAAAAATTTTGGTAGCTGAAAAATCACATCTGATTTCCACTTTTCTAACACCCTGCTGGAGGGACTTGGCTCACTCAAGGTCATCAACTTACTGAGAAACCCACTCTTCATATCAGACACTGTGGAGTTATAAATGTAAAACAGCTCTGTATGGCATCTCAGCTCCAGAGCTACACCTGAGGCTGAATCAGTCCCATTCCACAATTCACTGTTGCTCAGCTTAATTCACTAGGCCTCGCTTCACAAATACTCAAGTATTGCACAAAAGAACACTCTCCAGTAATCTTACCACATCTGCTTCCTTGTCTTGAACCTAACCAATAATACCAATACATATATTATAAAATAGATTGTGATAAGATAGTTTGAGTTTGAAATTTGAACTCGAGTCAATGAAATCCAAATATGGCTATATTTTTATCATACACCTAGGTCATCCTCTACACTAGCTCATCAGAATCATCCATGTGGATACATGAAGGATGTTAGGAGATTTCAAAAAGTATCTTAATTTTTTAAATGATATAAAAATAGAAAGCGAAAACCAGGAAACTCAGCTGGCTGGGGTAAGTCCGCTCGACATCCCGAGCCTTGGAGAGACTTTAAGATCACCTCTTCCAGAGCTCAAAGACCCTCCCAGAGCCCAGCCACGCTAGGCTGCACTTGGCAGGTTTCAGGCCTGCCCAGAACACGCCCAGTGACCTTCTCTAAACCGGGAAACTCAGCTGGTGCCTGGAGTGAATCTGCGCCATCCTGAGCACTAGGTAGATTTTAAGAACATCTCTTCTGGAGCTCAAGACTCACCCAGAGCCCAGCCACACTAGGCTGCACTTGGCAGGTTTCAGGCCTGACCAGGACATGCCCAGTGACCTTCTCCCAAACCGAGAAACTCAGTAGCAGCGGAAGTAAATTTGAGTGACCCCAAGACCAGGGAGACTTTAAGATCATCTTTTCTGGAGCTCAAGGACTCATCCAGAGTGCAGGCACACTAGACTAGCCTTGGGAGGTTTTGTGGACCAACTATATTATGCCCAGTGACTTTCTTCAATTACAGGATTTGATAGTAGGTGAAGTGAGTTCCAGGGCATTGATCTTTGCCCAGGGAGAGCTTCAACCCATCATCCACAGTGGTTAGGTGCCTTCCCAGCTACCTAAAACACTGAAGGGGACACAGGAGGGCCTGTGGGCCTAACTGGACCAGGCTCAGCAATTTCCATTCATCCCAGGAGCCTAGGGCCCAGGAGACAATTTCCAACACATCCAGGGAAGGTCTTGGAACAACACTTGAAGCATAGAAATATGGGAAAATGACAAAGCAAAAGACTACAATGAACTCTCAAACCTCCAGCCCATCCAAAGAAATCTTAGGAGCTATGTACATGGAAGAAAATACATGCAATACAGCTGAAATATCTGAAATAATAGCAACTGAAATAAAGAAACAATTCCGGGAAGCTTTAAAGGAGTTCAAACTAGAAATAATCCCCCAGGTAAAAGAAGAAATGATAGAAGTAATGAAAGAGATGCTGAACATAACTAAAGAAGATACAGTTAAAAAATTGGGGGAGCTAAACAAAAAGGTAGAATCCCTGGATGAACAATATAAGAAACAAACAGAATACATAAAGCAGATGCAAAGAGATATACAGGAAATCAAAAATTCCATTGAAAGTTATAAAAACCGCCTCAATGAAAGTGAACA